CACGCAAGGGTGCCGCACGACTTAGGCAAAACCAGCTAGGTCGTGACAATTCGGTAGCGGGCGTTGATGGTTGATTTAGGGTGATAACAGCGTAGAAACAGCCCCAATCGACGCTATCGCCTGTCGGTCTGCTGACAAACCGATATGTATCGCTCGATACGGGCGGTATTATTCAAAATTAAAATCCTTGAAATTAACAGAAACATCCAACTTCAATATATAACTTCCTACTCAATCATGGGTTTCGGGTTTCAGGTTATATGAAGATGATTTGTTCAATATCCTTTTAACTTAGTATAAATAATCAAGACCTAGTAGATCATCATGGATGATATGAAGTGCCAATAGAAAAGGAACAAGATCTAGATCTTATTGTCTAAATCAATGGAAAAAGAATAGAAGAAAAGAAAGAAATAAGATCCCTAACTTTGTTTCTTGTAGGTGATGCCCTAGTATCTCTCCTCCTCCTTCCTCATTGGTGGTGCTCTCTATTACAAGATGACGATTATATATAAAAGGGAGGGGGTTTAACCCTAACCCTAGATTCATATATGAAATCAAATTACCAATTCACTCCTAATTAAAATTAGGATATTACACTTGAATTGGTTCATAGGAGTTTGATAGATGTACTATCATATCTTGGATCATGTGGCTATAGACCTGTCAAGCTAGTGAGTTGTGACATGAATTTTATCAAGTGGTTAATGGGAGGGCACAATCAGGGTTATCAAATTCCTACTCTTATTGGAGCACTTGAGTATGACTTATCAAATTCTTACTTTTATTAGACTATTAGAGTACTTATAACTATCCAACTAACTAATTGTACATTTATCTAAAAGTATTTACAGAGTCTTTATGTGGATACAAGTATAACCATATATTGCTTGTTCATTTAAGCATAAGTGTGTCTCAGTTCAGATCCCCCAACATTTTCAAAATGGTTTATGTAATTTGAAAGTTGTAATATGATGATGTAAGAGGCATTGAGTACTATAAGGAGCCAGAATGACTTTTCTTGTTTAAATCAATCTTGTTGTCTTTCCTTATTTCATGAGCCTTCCTCCACAAATTGCAGGTAATCTATTTGTTGTGTTCTCAACAAATTGCAGAAACACTATTTGCGGTGTTCTCTTTTGAATTAATGTACACTTTATGCTTTTTTTTCTTAACACAGTTCAAGTTTTGGTTCTGAAAGTGTTTGTCATATCTTGGTCAGACATACAATCTAGTCTAGGAAAATATGATCCCAAGCTATTGTCCGTGAAGAGGTTTCCAGTGCTAGCCGTGGTGCAATCACAATGCTGCCAGACAGATCATCTGTTACATGTTTATGTTTGATGACATGTTGGCCTTCTCTTTCTTAAAGTTTGGTGGAAAATCATCTTTCTTAAAGTTTGGTGGAAAATCAAATAAATATCCCCCTTGGATTATGTTGTTTTTAAAATCAAATCCAGATCATACTGTGATGATAAAATGCAAGTCATGGAGTCATGATAAGAGGTCCAGATCAAACTGTCATGTCATCATGACAAAGCCTTTTCCCATCAATTTGAAAGCCATGGCTACTGAGATGTCTGATAGCATATGGCGACAGGTGGTTGCCCAGTTCAATCTCATGAAAGATACTTGAAAGATATATTACATTTGAACAAATATCACACCAATGATTTTGATCAATCTCATGAAAGGTGGTTTCAAGTCCAAAAATACTTGAAAGATATATTACAGATTAATAAAACAATTAGATGTAGAAAAATAGAATAAACAAGGTTCATTTCTATCATAATTGAATTCAAACTTAAGCAATGTATAATTGTAGATGATGCTACATTCATCTATTCATACACCAATGATCATGGTTGAACATGTGTACATATGGTGACTTTAAATAAGAATAGCCTAGGCAATTGGGGTTTGTTCTAGTTGCTAGCCTTTGACTGCAATTTTAGTATAAATGGGATCTTAAAAAACATTGAGTGGCTGTTAACCTGACATTTTAGTTTTCTAAAGTTGGTGCTCATATCATAAACCAAATTTAAGCAGAATAAATTTTCTTAGAACTTTGAGGCTAGTTGGTGCTAATTAAGCTACTATTACCCACAATTTTTTGTGATGGAAAAATCTTATTGTTTGTTCATGTCAGCAATTGACCCAAATAGTGTGTGTAGGTTTTGCCATGATTCTAGTTTTGCTCATTGGTTTGGTCCACTTCCATTCCTAAGAGTTGTAAAAAATATTGTGATTCCTTCACTACTTTCACCTAGAATAGAAAATGCAACCAGACTTTGAGCTTGTTCTTTATGTTGAGAAGGTTCCAGAATATGATTGACTAGATCTTTTTCATATTCTAATACTGACCAGATGTTAATTATTGTGGAGACTCTTTGTTTACTTTTACTGCATAGCTTGAGCAAGAATAATTTCTAGTTCCTTTTTGAATTAGTTCAAGGAAATATGAGATGCTGATATTTACATTCATATCTACTGCTTGATAGAGAGGCCTTTCTTCATTATCATTTGTTCTGGAAAAGCTGAGTTCTGCCATTGAAGAACATGGGTCCAGGGAAAGTTCATCACAACATGAAAGAGTACCACAATCATAATTAAACAAAGTTATAAGTTCATATTTTTCTTGGAAAAAAATTATTTTTTTATCAATCTCAAACAATTCATCTACTCTATACAAGTTTCCGCTGTTGATGAGTCTCTACTTTGTGTTCCTTGTATGCTTATGGATGCTTTCAGTAACATATATGAACTTTATGTCCTTGTTTTTTCAGACATGCTGGTTTTCTTAATCTGAAATTTGACATTGATTCTTTGACACAACATTTTGATTCATGCAGGGACTTCATGCACATTGTTCTTGTTCACTATCTTGAAGTCAAGGTTGTAACTCACTTTTTTCCTTTGGTTTGTTTTGCTTGGATTTCTTTTTAGCATAGTAATTAAAAAGGAGTTCCTCAATGTTCAGCAAATTAAGTAATGCCTGTAACCCATTCTTATGTTCAGATTCTTGTGCTCTCTTCTGTCTCAATCAGTTAGTTTATTAAGTACAAGTTTTTTTACATGTTATATATTTATACACATATATTCATATGTCAGCATAGATACGATGATCTCTATGTTTGTTATCCATTATCTAAAGCTATTCTTCTAGCAAACCTCTGACATTAGCAACTTAGTTATTGCCATGAGGGAGTTATGATGCACTGTATCTTCGGCTATTGTTGCATGCATTTCAGTATATGTCCACCAAAACAACCATGGACTTATCCACTTATCCAAACAAAATCAATGTTGGTGCAATATCTGCTATTTTCTATGCTTTGGTTGTGCCATTCTTGCATTTATGTCAGATTTTTTGCATGATTATTTTCTGGCTAAATCATTTTCTAAAGTTATGTTAAATTGAAAATATATGTTGTGTATTAATTATGATCACTTGGGAAAACAAATCTTAGTGACTCTTGAAATGACGTGGAAGACTGGAGACACAGTATTGTGTGCTTATTTTTCCTTTAAAGTTTAAACTAAGAAATCCTGTATCCTTCTTCAAATCATTGTTTCTGCATGCTTTTCTTGGTAGGTAACTGTCAAAATAATCATGATTTTTTACTCCTAGATCATTTAGTAAGCATATCTTGAGTTTGACTGCATGCTTATAATTTTTTCTATTACTAAATGTTGTTTCAATAATTTCTGTAGTAAAATTTTTTGAACATATGTCCCTACAGGTTGGACAGATTGCATGTTTGTTACTTCCAAAATGTTTATTTGTACATACTCTTGTAAAGCCAATTTGTTTGCATCAGCATCAGTATTCTTGTGGGTATGGAATCTTCTGTTAATCTAAAGAATGTTCTTTAACAAATGATATAACACCCACTGTGCATCAGTATTCTGAAAATGTTCTTTATCAAATGGTATAATTACCTTGTGCATCAATATCTAAGAAAAATCTCAGTTGCCTTGCTACTGACACCAAGAACCTGTGAGGTTACACAAGTATGTTTGAAAGGACACCTGTGCTAAATCTAATTCTTATATGGGCATTCATGGTAAATACCAAGGGGCTTAGATGATTTCTTGTAGCATTGGCCTTAAATAACTGGAATTTACAAGTGCATGGGCTCTAGTGTCTATGATTTGGGTTTACTGGGGTATCTATGCAAATAGACATTTTGGATGATTATTTATGTATTTTGGCAAATTTATATGGGCATATTATACTTTGCTCTTTTTTGATGTCCTTGAAATGTCTCTTTTTTCACTTTGAGGGTGTTGGTGAACCTAAAAGTAACCAGGTATATCACCTATTCTTATTATTGGGCTTCCTTGGCTGTATTACATGTTATACTGGTAATGTTTTGCTTTATCAATGCAAATAATTCATACCATTGTCCTTTCTAACGGAGTGAATTTTGATGATTCGAAACTAGTTTATAGATGATTTTGTCAAATTAAGATTGACTCTTAGTGTTAGGGTTAGGTTACTCCTTAGTAATTTTGCTAACAGAGTTAGGAAACACTCTTTCTGCTTGCATGCAGTGGTAAGACTACATACACGGTGACCTTTTCCAGATACCTTATTGGTGGGAGTCTTCTGCACTAGGCCACCCTTTTTTTAGAATTTTTGTCAAATCTAGTCAGCATCACCATTTGTCTTCTAAAAAGTGTATCATTCGACTACCATATTATTCTTCATTTACAATGATTACCTTTTTCATACATACATAAATCTTGAAGATCATACTGATAATGTCAATGACTAGGATATACAGAATACAAATCACTAGAGAGGTTTCTGTCCTGATAGTTGGACATGTGATAAAATTTTCATCTCATGTGCTTCTTTTGGAATTTACTCCAGGGTCATAAACCGAGTTTCAGCCGCAATAGAGAAGTTGAAGATGTTCCCCAGGATAACCAGGTGGATAGTCCTGTCTCTTCTAATTCCATCACAAATCATAGTCAGCTGCCTTCACAAGCAACAGATGTTGAAAGCCCTATTAGTCTACACACTTCAGAGTATGAAGATGCTGAATCAGGTATGACTCACACAAAATCATAAGCTGTTATGCATTACAAGTGTAAATCCACTGATTCGTATTTCAATCATGCACTTTTTCTTTCAGTGTATCTAAAGCGAAATTCGATGCAGCAGATAATTATCCAACAAGTTCCAGATACCACCCTTTCGTTAAGATGCAGCAGTATGATGATGGACAAATGACGGGTGTTCAATTTGTGGACTCTTATGTTCCAGATCCTTCCATAGATAGTCAATGTGAGTGAAACTCTTTCGTAGTTTCTTTTAGATGAATTAGTAGAATGCTACTGAGAAAAACAATTTGTTCAATATCTTTCAGGTGGTTTTCAGGAAATACATGATGCTGAACCTAAATCAGATTTTTATTCAGTTACTCAAGAGGACATAGGTAGGGTATTTAATGAAACAGGTCTAGGGTTGACATTTATTGGGTCTAAAACACAGTTAGATCTGGCATCATGGGAAGAAGTCCTAGAACATTGTGCAACATCACATCAGATGCCATCTTTCCAGTCATCAGCTGGTATTACAGAGGTTACGACAGAGGAAATTAGTAGTAAACAAACTTCTGTACATGCAGACCTATATGCAGAGAATCCTGGTACCAGGCAAGATGACTCCATTATATCAGACAAATTTGAGTGGCAGGTACTATTGCTATTTGTATTAACATACATTTCCAGATTGTTCTAATTGATTTTGAATACTATACAAAATTGCAATGTTTAAAATTTTGTTCTGTTACCACTTTCAGCATGTCAGATTGACAGTGTACTTGTATACTAGGCAGTATATCCACTTGTATCAACGGGTAAAAGAAAAAGACAACAACAAAACTGAGCCCTATGGGCTGATAGTGGTTCTTTTTCGGACTGGTAAATATTGGTTAATAATGTACAGGTCCCACTGGTATTTGAAATATTGCATGGTGGATCTTCGTACTGCATGGAAGATAGTATAATTTCTTTTCATATATTATAATTTAAATAATAACTTCTGTCCTGTCATTAACCTGAACCCAGAAATAGCCTTATTAAGAACTTGCAAGTGCTATTATTTTTGACAGACTAGAATGAGCTGATGATCACTGACGGCTGGATAATGTGATATTAATGCACAAGCTTCCACATGCTTCTTGCTTCATGGATATTTATTGGCTTGAAAATTGTCTCTGCTTAGGCTTTGAGTTCATCTTTATTATAGGCTTTGGCCTTTATTAGTATGACTAAATCATTCGTAATATTTTATGTTCCAGCTTTCTAGTGCTGACACTGATTCAGCTATTATATCAACTATTAACATGGAAAATGAGACTTCCATTGATGGAAGTGATAAATACACTTCCCTGGTAAAACAACCAACATTGGACCTCTCCAGAGTACAAACTGAAGGCCTAAAGAAGTATGATAGCTTCTCAAGGTGGATGAGCAAAGAGCTTGGAGAGGTTGATGAGTCACATACAAAATCCAGTTCTGGAGCATACTGGAGTGCTGTTGGAAGTGATGGCATTGTTGAAGATTCTAGCATTTCAAATCATGAGCCTTTGGATGCATATATAATGAGCCTCTCACTTTCACAGGATCAGCTTTTCAGTATAATTGATTTCTCTCCAAACTGGGTCTATGCTGGCTTGGAGACTAAGGTATCTGGCACTCTGAAATGGATGTTTCTATCTAATGCTTTCCTCAATGATGAAGTTAGGACTTGAAACATCAACATATCCTTTATTATACCCTAAAAGTTGCAGTTATGGTTTGATATTGGCATACTATATGTTTTCATTTCCTGATCATTCTTTCTGATGTATATTACAGGTTTTAATTATTGGGACATTCTTGAAGACTCAAGATGTAGAAAATTGTAAATGGTCATGCATGTTTGGGGAAGTTGAAGTTCCAGCAGAGGTTGTAGGAGATGGTATTCTTAGTTGCCATGCTCCTCCACATAAATCTGGAAGGGTTCCTTTTTATGTGACCTGTTCCAACAGGTTGGCTTGTAGTGAGGTGAGGGAGTTTGAATTCCGTGTAAGTGATCCACACTGTATAGAGAATATAGATTCCTGCAGTAATAACACATATGAAATGCTTCTTCATATGCGTCTTGATAAGTTACTGTCTCTGGGGCCACTTGACTCCCAAAGTTTAGATTATAGGAAGAAAGCTCATTTGGGAGGTAAAATCAGTTTAATTAAAATGGAAGCTGCTGATGATACTCTGCCTAAAATAAGTCAAGAAAATGGGTATTCTGCTGACAATGCAGAGTTGCTTGAAATGTTATTACAAGAGAAGCTGCATATTTGGCTTCTACACAAATCTGCCAAAGATGATAAAGGTCCCAATATCTGGGATGAAGAGGGGCAGGGCGTGCTGCATCTAGCAGCTGCTCTTGGTTATGATTGGGCTATAGAACCAACAGTGACTGCAGGTGTCAATATTAACTTCAGAGATGCACATGGGTGGACTGCATTACACTGGGCAGCTTTTTGTGGCAGGTGAGTACCTCAGATGTTTTGTCATCAAGAATTTTGTTGATTAGTTATTGGTACCTGTCTATCGTAAGCCATATTTACTGTTGTTTTCTTTGTCATTTCAGGGAGCGGACAGTTGGTGCTCTCATTACAATGGGTGCAGCACCTGGTTTATTGACAGATCCAACCCCTGAGTTTCCTTCAGGAAGAACACCTGCAGATTTGGCATCTGCAAATGGTCACAAAGGCATTGCTGGTTTCCTGGCAGAATCATCTTTGACTAGCCATCTTTCTTCCCTCACTTTAGACCCAAAGGGCAGTGATATAGCAGACGTTGCCAGCTTGACAGGCATTGATGATGCAGAACAGAGAGCTCTTGCAGTTGCTGATGGAGATATGCAGGCTGGACTTTCGCTGAAGGATTCATTGAGTGCTGTTCGTAATGCTTCTCAAGCTGCAGCTCGCATTTACCAAGTCTTTAGGGTGCAATCATTTCATAGAAAGAAAATTGAGTCTGGAGGTGACAAGTCCGCTATGTCAGATGAGCGAGCGCTTTCACTTCTATCTATCAAGTCACAAAAAACAGGACATTCTGATATGCCTATGCATGCTGCTGCCATTCGTATACAAAACAAATTTAGAGGATGGAAAGGGAGGAAAGACTTCTTAATTATTATGCAACGGATAGTCAAGATCCAGGTTTGACATTAACTGATCGCTTTGCTTGTGCATCTGCATATTGAGTTTCACTATTTTGTAATTGATGTTCTTTGCTTTTCTATGATTTTGTAATTTCGTATCACTTTGTTTTGCTGTCATACACACATTTTATACAATTGGCATTCTTCTGCTAAAGCTACTAGGTTAATGTTCTGTACATGTATGCATGCCTGATATGTTTGATATACATAGTGTTTGCCTTGCCATAGGACATATATGCATGTACATATTCGTATTCCTTTGCACATTTAAGCTTATTTTTCAGGTTTCAACTTTTCATGAGGTCATATTACTTCAGCCTGTTCAAACATTGGTGCATCAGCACTGTTCTAGTCAACAAAATATAGCCTTGTCTTGCATTACAGAAAAGCAATTCTTCTCACTGTACCTGTGTGGGTGCTCACTGCATTTTCATAAAAACCTTGATTTTGTGACAACTCAGCTTTCATTTTTTTGTTAACTTGTCTAGTTCTCCTGGTTATTTTTGTTCTCTATCTTCTATATAGCCATGAAAATTGCAGATATAAACAATGCTCCACACATGTACTTAGAACGCATGCTCGATAGTATACATCAGTACTTTCAAAATGTTTCCTGATGGGCCTATTATTCATGTTTAGGATCTCAACTTTGTATGATTGCGTAGGTCCCAGACACAAAAACTGTCTTGGTAGCTCAAAAACAGCTTAGGGCTAGGTGCATGTTATGCATCAATATATGAACCTAAACTAGGTGATTGGAAGATGAGTCTTAGTGTCTGGGCTGGAGTTTGACATGGTTTGTACTAATTTAAGGAGAGTTGTTTGATGAAGTTTTTCTTTAGTTCAAAACATCCTCTTAGGAAAATCTAAACTTGTTAGATAAACTTGCTTTTTTAAGTAACCAGTGTCCATTTTATAGTAATTATTCTGTTTAAATTGAATTTTGCTTTTCACTTGTTTAAAAATGTTGAAACTTTATTTGATGAGTTTAATAATTTAGAGAATACCTGATAATTTGGAAGTTGAGCACTCCGCCGTGTACTTTAGCTTCTCTAAAGTTTTGTTACATGTACCATGTTTTTATATATTAGATTTCTACGTAAACCTTTTCTTTTCTGAAGTTTGTATTTGATGACTAGGCTCATGTACGAGGTCATCAAGTCAGGAAGCGTTATAAAAAATTTGTGTGGTCAGTAGGAATTGTGGAAAAAGTTATACTGCGCTGGAGACGTAAAGGAAGTGGGTTACGTGGATTTCGGTCTGAAGGCGTTTTGGAGGGCACTTCCATGCAATGTCATCTTGCTAAGGAGGATGATTATGATTTCCTGCAAGAAGGCAGAAAACAGACAGAGGCTAGGATGCAGAAGGCACTTGCGAGGGTGAAGTCTATGGTTCAATATCCAGAAGCTAGAGAACAATACCGAAGGCTTCTAACTGTCGTTACAGAATTCCAGGAGTCTAAGGTATCTCTTTTATATGCTCTGGTCTGTTCAATTTTACAACATGCCAAGTAACACAAAGTTGCCAATCTAGTAGGTCTTAGGAGTTAGGAGTATGTAGGATTTTAAATTGAAAGTTCTCATCTTTTTGTATCCTAGGCTTATTATGGTTCTCTTATTCGTTGAAGTTTTTCTATCTTCTATTTATTTATGTTTTTATTTAGTAATAGATAGGGAAAATTTTTCCCGTTGTGGACTTCATGACTCTCTTTAACTTGTGTTATATGAATTAATGATGCAGATATATAATTGCCTTAAATCAATGTGGTATTATCTTCTCCACATTCCTTGCCTTTAAGAAACAGTCTTTCACCTCTTTGCTTCTTTGAAAGCAGTGACCATCAACTTGTGCTTTCTGAACGGTTAAACTTATATGATCCTGCATGCATTACTTGGTTAATGCATGTTGTTTTGGAGGTCACCCAACAGGAAAGTTATATTTCTACTTTTTTGATAATTCCCAAAATTCTGCTAACATTTTGGGATGCCAATGCTTCTCATTGTTAACTGTGTTCCTATTGAAAAACTTGGATTTTGTGTGTAATGCCCAATTGTGGTTCAGTGCAATTACACTAGTCAAATAGGATTTGGTTAGACTTAATATCTCTACAAATGCTGTAGGACTTAGTCTTTATCTGGGCATGTCCGAACGAGCAGACCTACTGGCTCAGATCTGTCATTCTTGGTTCAAGACTCGAGTGAGCTCTGGATTTAGTCATTAACCCCCTGCTTCTTTCAGGCTAAAACCAAGGCTTTGTTGGTTGAGCATTGCTATTCTAAAATGCAGCTAGCAGCTAAGCCTAATCGTCAAATGCATGTACAATAACTGTAGGTAGATATTTTTTATACAACACCGTGGTTATTTATCTGGCAGCAATTAGCTTTTGTTTGGTGCACTCCTGCCTTTGCAAGCTTGTGGACTGTAGTTAAAGTTATTTTCATTTTTACAGGCTTTGCAAGAAAGCATTATGGATGTATCAGAGGATGCTGCAGATGCTCATCTCATGGTTGAGCTGGAAGAATTATTGGAAGGAGACACAGTAATGCCAACTGTTTGAGAAGGGTCATCTGAATAAACTCATCTAAACATTTTCATATTAGCACCTCGAGTCCATTAACTGCTACTGTAAATCATCCTTTACTAATCATGAGAAATTAGATACATTTTAAGTATTAGCATTTGTACTACATGTGTGTAACTGATTTATGATGAACTTGAGTGTAGTTTGTCTCATGGACAGAGCTGAGAGTTGTATAGAAAGTGTCATTTGTACCATGGAGCAAACTAAGAGCTGCATACTGGATTATGATTTGCTTTGTCTGCATTATTGTTGGTTCTTTTACACTCTTGTTTATATTGAACTGGCATTTGTGAGTGAAGAAGAATTGTCCATGCTGGATTTAGTTGGATGATGCGGAATGCTTTTAAGTTTCAGAGATCAAAATAATATGTGATTTCCTGAAGTATTTGTGAAGACATCATGCTGTGCCTGCAGCGTGATGCTGGGATGTGAAACACGATGTTTTTGGTGTTGATAAGTTTTATGTCGATCATTTTCTCGATGCTGCTAATTCAAACAGTGTTCTTCGACTGATGCATTATTTGATAGTGTATGTAAAGTAAGCTATTATAAATAAGTGGACATACTAACTCATGTTTTAGCTTTCTGTTCTTATTGTGTCGTGTTGCTAATTGAAATTGTAGCGTCGCATATTGTTCGCTTTGAATATCGCTCTTTAAGTCAGCATTTCATGGGGGAATGCATTGCAATGCATGGAAGCACTGGTAGTCTGTGTGTATTGCAGACGGATGGTTTCTCTTCGGTTGGTGGCTCTCCAATCCCCTCCGCGCCTCTTGTCGCTGTTTTGGTCCTTCGCGGACTAGCGTACCGACCCTCCCCTCTTGTGTCTCGACCATCGCGTGGCTGTTCCTGTTGGTGTCGAGGAGGTGGCTCCGGCGACGCGTCGAGGTCGCTTCCAGGGTATCTTCCCCATGAAGGAGCGGCAGATCTTCTAGGTCCTCCGCGAGGTTTGTTCGATTAGGTTTCCCGAGCGCCGGTGTACGGAAGTAATGGTCAGCTCTCTTGATGTTTGCTTGCGCCTTAAATTCCCAGAGAGGAAAGGGCTTTCACGAATGAAGAGGCTGTTGATTTTGGCGTTGCGTATTTCCGAGAGTGTTTACAGGAGCATACGCTCCGGTGGATGACCATATTCGTGCTAGCTTCGGCGGGCATCAAAGACAGGTGCGTCAAATTTGTTCTCTTAGCCCTTCGGTATTAGTTCCTCGTCTTTGAATGTTCTGGATCTGATTTCTGCATACAGCTTGCATTTGTGTATATGCCAATGCGTGATTTTATTTTTATGTTTACTGCTGCATTTGATGATCTTCAACTGCCTCAGATATCCCATGCTGCTGGATACCAAAGTCTACTGATTGTAACATTGATCGCAACAACAATAAATCAAGAATTTCCAAAAGGTTGTGCTAAAAATTCTGATCACCGTCGCTTTAAATTGTACAAACATTCTTGGCAAACAAGTGCCCGGGTAGGAGGTGAGATTTAGACCAATAACAAGATGAAATCAGAGGGGTTGTGCGTATCATCTTCATGAGTTGTAGCACTCTTGTGATGACATGACGAGGAGGTATCTTATATTAACATCGAGTACCATGTATCAGATGAGGTCAGCCTGAATTGGTATACCTACTTATGCACCAAAGATACTGGAGCTCCAACTTGAGAGCAAACACATAAAACTAGATTTCATATTTGCACTTTTTAACTGGATCATCCATTGTTAATGTTGTATATCCATTTGGTACTTTCTGTCATTGTATCTTCCATCACATGCAGTCAAATTTTCTCCTTTTCGGTTTCTCTTTGGGCTTACATAATAATTCTTCACTTGCAGTATTGTTTTCGTTCATGTTACCAACTATGTATTAGAATCTCTCAATACGAACATAATAATTTTTCCTGCTTTATATTAAAAAAATATGCAACATTTCAAGGTTTGATATCAATCAGCTTGGTATGCTCATCATTACTTCATCAGGTGCATGCCCAGCATCAAAAGTTTTGGTTGCTAATCACTGATCAATAACAGGCTTGGTGTTGCCAATTGAAAAGAACAGTGGAAGGATCGAGTTTTCTTTGTATTGGCTAGCCTCAGCCATTGAAGGCTTCTTCACTGTTCTCTCGAGTATCAAAGTTTAAGTGAGCTGATGTTATCGGTATTCAGTTTCAGCAGCAACCATCATCTTGCACGTCTAGGCACAACAAGAATGGGAGGTGCTCTAGTCAAAGTACTTGAATGAGCTCGATAGGGTCTTTGGCACACTGCCATCATCTGATGTTGAACATTTAAAGAATTCCTAAATGGTTGAAGTTCTTGCTACTCTGACACAGGTGACGTTTAGGTCAAATGTGCTGATATAAGTTGGATCTAATTATGAAAAAGAGATAAATCAGGACTGCTGGATGATATGAGGATCATTGGCTTCATTTCCTTGGCCAACTTTGCTGAGTTTTCAACCTTCTAAAGAGCTCTAAGGTCTGTCTTTACACATAGATTTGGCTTTGTTTCAGCAAATGTAGTGAAACAGGTAATTGATGAATCTCTCTCTAGGAAATCTAGTATCTGTCTGTGTAAGATGAAAGACCCAAGTTTTCTATCAGAAGAAAGTGCCTCAGCAATTTGATTCATTCAAGGTATTGTGATGCACCTTTTATTCTTTTGATTACTGATTAGTACTTGATCAACGTATTATGTAGCTTCGCCAGTTGCTTGTTTAGTCGGCCTAGTATTCGTGACCGTGGCATAGTGGCAACATTCTGATTCATTTTTCAAGTATTAATTGTATGCTTTTGGTGGATTATCGACATTTCATCAGAGTTATTGCTCAACTCCGCCAATTGTTTGTTTGGTTGGTCAATCTTATATTCATGTGTAAGGACGACAATATTGTGATTCTACTTTCAAACACTGATTTAGTTGCGATGCCATTGATTAGTAGATAACTTTTTTGACTTCAAGCCTTCATACCACAGACATTCATCCCATATGTGAGTTACTTGTACAGGTCCAAACGAAATTTTCTAGATCAATAAGTATTGCTAACATCTCAATTTTCACAGGTTAATGATTTCTGCTGTTCCAAATTGGATTCCAGATCATGTTGAACTATCCTTGTTCACTGGTTGGTTTCAAGAAACTTTTAGTTTGGCGGCTGTGTTGCAAAGATCAACATGGAAATTGAAGCACTTGAAAGCTTCCACACTTTCCTCTGCTTCATCCTGCCTACTATTGAGGTTTGATCACATCCCTCAAACAAATTTTCATGCAGCAATCTCTTTAATTATCTGTACAAATATTAAGATTAGGGTTTAAGGAAAGAATACAACATTTTACCTGTTAGGGTTTTCATTTCATGATTGCATTAAAACTTGTTATTCTGATCGATTATAGTGTCAAGGCGGGGTGATTCTGATCGATTATAGTGTCAAGGCAAGGTTTAAATTTGTTAGTGAGAACCTTAGAGAGGAGTTCGTATAGGACGTTGTAGAGGGATATGGGTATGAAATCAGAGATCCAAGTAAGGTTGGTGACATTGGGAATGAAGAATAAGTTGGTCTTTGTAGAATTCGACCATAAAGCTGTTAGGCCCCCAAGCTTTTGCCTTGGCCCATCCCCTATAAGAAAGAGCATTGACGTCCGTGAGGGAGGAATGCCTGACAAGCAAGAGAAGAACAGGAGACGGGAGGATGGTTATGTGAAGGGGAGGGAGGGGACCTCATATTGCTATATCAATTCATGAAGGCATAGATTGTGGAGGAGATATCCTCGGCAAGGGAATCTATTGTTGTCTCTGGCGAGTCATTTTTAGATGGATCTGCCTGGCTAAGGCAGTGAATCTATTGTTGAGGATAAGAAGGTTAGTTTGATCCTCATCAAAAAGTGAGGAGTTCTCATCACAATCTTCTGTCCTGGACCATATTGTGGACAGAAGGGTATTCAGGCCATTGGGACTCGAACTTAAAAGATCTGAGGAGGCGTAGGATCATTGGCAGCAGGGTTAAGACGGAAGGGGTTTGACCAAGGCACGAGAGTCAATTATTCGTAGCAAAAACTCTATCAAGCCTAGTCAAAACCCTCGAATGACTTAGTCTGTTATTGCACCAATTAGAATGCGATCCGAAAAAACATAGGTTCACAAGATTACAATTGGAAATGAAGTTCCTAAAAGCTAAGACCGAGTGATCAACTTGAAATGGGTTACTACCTAATTTATGAAGAGAAGAATCTAAACAATTGAAATCCCAATAGAGCGTCCACAGTAAATCTGATAGAAAAACGTCAATGTTGATAACGAAGAGAGGCATTGGTGCTTGCATAAATAGCATACATTGTTGTTCAAGGAGATATTGACAGTGAAGGCTTTGTTGGAATCAGTGTGTCAAGCTATGATGACGTCGCCCAAACGCCCTAAATAA